ATACACATTTCTTTCCAGATCCTCAGAAACAAAAGGGTTAATTGGTGTCCCATCTGGCAAGCAAAGACCACGGGATGTTGGTTTAAGATTCATTCAAAACAGATATTGCGCTTCGATAATCATGTATACATGGACCTTTGAAAATATGTTGATATGCCTTGCGGCAATGTCATTTAAGGCATTACAGGGATATAATGCTTGGCAAAATACGGTATACACTCATGTTTGATGGTGCTAAATGCAATCAAAGAGGACATGGATGTTTGCATGGGGCACTGCATTTGATATGGGTAGTTTGTCTTCAACCCAGTAATGTTGTGATAACGTCTGACATTTGGGGCTCATGTTCACGTCTCCGCGTATACTTTCTTTTGTCCGGCAGTGTATGTGTAACACTGACGCTTAGTGACCCTCCCTGGACACATGAGGACAAAATCAACCAGGGCTGAAAACAGATCGGGTTTCAAGGACAACCTATTTCTGTAAGTATACGTTACATCCTCAAAAAGCGTTCAGGATTATAGTTTGAGATGGTACAAACTACGTCAACCTTTGAAGTCGACTTAAGTATTAGTTCTGAATGTATTAACGGGAGTAATCCAACCCTGTTTAACTTGATGAAAGGAATGTCCTGTAATAACACCTTGTATTGGGCTTGTTATAATGCCCCGTCGGTGGCTCTTGGCGTAACGGAAGAAGTGCACTGACGTTCTGGCTGCACAGCTGCATCCTCCTTAACGATTACCATGTGATAATTTTCATAGAATGCCTTTTTATTACGCTGTTTGGAAATCGTTTATCCCGCTTTGTGGAATTCCAACAGGTAATACCAGCGAACTGGCTTCTCGTTTGTAGCATCTTATACGATAATGATATGTCGTTTACAGGCACTTTTATAATTTTGGGCAGACCAAACTTTTCTTTGTGGAATCCCAGCAGCAGGTTGCCCTAATATCAATTTTCTATTGCGGTAATGGCTAGGCTATTAATCAACAGTGTGACACTGACAGTGCCTTAAGGCTTCTAAAATTATTTCCACTCAATTTAATAGGCATGGCCCTAGAAGTAGGGTTGACAGGCTATTTGCAGCAATGTTGATTAGAGGCATTGCGGTTGTACTGAATTTCACTGCTTTTCCAGTTCCTTTTGCATACAAACGGACAAGCACATAACTGATATTTCACACGAAACATCAGCACCAATACTTTGATGGTAAACGAAATGTTTTACCCTGAAATGTAAGTAATGAATATTTTGTGTTTGAAGAAAGGCACGACTAATCCCTCCCAGCGCTCACGGTGATTCTACCAGGTGATTGAAAAAATGTGGCCGTTTCCTGAACCACCGTGGCCGCCACCACAAACACATGCAAAGGCAGTGCAATTATTCACCTGAGAAACACTGTGACGCTTCAAAACTGCAGCGACCATCATTTCGGTCAGTGATGCATCACCAACGTAGAAATGCTTTTAACATGTCTAGACTATTTTGTTGAAGAATTACTAAGCCCTTGAGTGCTGTAACCCTATCAAGCAACCTTTAAGCTCTTTGAAATATTTCTGGAATGAGACTAATATAATAAACCGGAAAAGTTGCGACTTGCAGACAGCTATGATTTTCAGGATTATTGCCGTGAACAGATCTAAATATGAACCAATAGAAGGAGCTGAGATAATCTTAGTTGGTTTTAACGTCGCTTTGAACTACATTCCAGTTATTTTACAACTGGAATATGCAGTTCCTTGATGTTTACCACTTTGGTGACATTGGTATAGCGTTGAGAGAACCTAGAAACATAACTGGATCTAACAGGGATTCGAACTTATGTTCTTAATTGTCTTGGGTGCCCAAGGGATGTAACTCTAAATAGCAAACCGAGACTCATAGACCATAGCGCCCAAGATCTGGTTGAGACTCTAACACTATTGACGCTTGGATATTGTTTGTCCATGAAAAGAAATTGTCTTATTCTGTAATCATTCGATACCATCATACACTTATTACTTTAAGTTGAAGAGCACAATTTGTTACCAGTTTGTCATTTGAAAATGAAACCGGACGCAACATTCACAGAACACAAGAACATAATCTTTGCATTGGGGATTTGTTTTTCATTATTTAATACAAATCTATTCAAAATAACAATGCTTTAAGAATTGTTTTCGCAACTGAGAAACTGACAAGCACTTTTCGTCAACCATCCTTTTAGTTAAAATATTTTAAAAGTGTTTTTGCCTTTTTTAAATGCTTTATATAAGCTCTTTTCAGCTTGCCGGATGACACTCATTCGACATTAGATATTCTGGAGATATAGACTTCAAAGTTTTAGCTTGTTAAAAATTATGTTATATTATTGCCTTTGTGTTTTGCGTTGGGTAGATGTCAAGTCGGAGATACAGTGAAATCCCATTAGTCCGGAGATGTCTTCTTTCTGTAGACTGTATAAGAACAGTAATTTATACAAACGCAATGGTTCAAAGAAATTGTATCAGCGATGCGGTATTCCGGAAGTCCTGACGATGTAACAGTGACCCGCAGCATTAAAGGGGTTCAGCTGTTAAGTACAGTGACAACCGAGACATAAGGTCGAACACTTCGGTCAGTTCAACCAACGAAACATCAACAACGGGATACGGGCCCGTTTCCAACTCATACACATCCAGCAGACCTTGCTTTCCGCTTCTGACGGTTCTCTATGACATATGGCGGAATATGAGAATGTCAGTGGGTCTTACACCGTATATATTAAGTCTATAATTTGCCCTGGTTGAGGGGTCTAGATGAAATGAAGCCCTTCAAAGCAGACTGAGAAGTATCAGGATGTCTGGAACATAATCGATCTGGCGGAAAGAAACAATTGCTTCGGGAATCGAACCAATTACTTTACTCCAGAGAAATTGTTTTTTGATGGTATAAAATATTATCTCTTCCCTTATTGTATGAAATGTCGGCGTTTGAACTCATGCGTTGCATTACTGACACATCCGAAAATTGATCAATGACAACCATTTCGCATAAATACCTTTACTTACATTGAAGAAAACATTATAAATAAAATATGGTGTAAATAGCTTCTTTTTTTTCTTCTTTTTTTCGTTAAAGCTGCACTCAAAAACTTTCCAGCTCTATGGCAGCGGTGTGGAAATAATCGAGTCTGGAAAAGGAAATCCAGTGATCAACAATATGATCATCTTTCGTATCCGAGTGTGTTTTCGTATAATAAATATCAGATATTAGGTACAGAGAATGTTTTATGAGACATATTTGTTCAAATTCATAATATATGCCATATGTGGTGCGGAAAACATGCCATAGTAATGAGATTTTTTCCCGAAAATGTATTTCTTTAAACAATCGAGTTTGAGACATATTGATATTCCCTATGGTAACATAACACCAAAATTAACCTACTCAATTTGGATATTGTTTTGCTGCCATGTTTGTTTACGTAAGTAAGCATGTACCAGAACCCACCCTTTAATAATTTAGGGAACGGTGACATTTCGATATTTCCTACAGTAACTTTACGAAATCACATAAGAACATAACACCAAAATGAACCTCCTCATATTAGATATTGTGCCATTTGTTTTGCCGCCATGTTTGTTCACGTAAGTACGCATGTACCAGAAACCACACTTTAATAATTTCGGGAACGTTGTGCAACAGTGGATGTACAGAGCTTACCAAAGTAGGCTTTGATAAGTGACCTTATCTACATACGTACGAATCGCTATACCAAGTTCATCGGCTTCTGTTGTCGCATCGAGAAAACTAATCGTCACCTGATAAAGTATCATACAAGGTGTATCACCCTTCAGACACTATTACAATAGATGCAAATTTGCTTTAATACTATCACAATAGTTGCATCAGAGTTGCTAAACCATTGCAATAGCAGTGTCACTGTTCATCAGCATGGCTTTCGACCAGTGAAGTTCCGTGTGAGGATTGGTATTCAGCAACCTAGACTTGACGTAAGAGGCGACTAATGAGATGAGGTGGTCAGGCTCGCTGACTTGGTTGATGCATGTCATCGTATTCCAACTGACTAGATCGATGCTGACTAGATCGATACTGACTAGATCGATGCTGACTAGATCGATACTGACTAGATCGATACTGACTAGATCGATGCTCATGAGTTCAATCATTAGATTGTCTGGTAGAGATCGAATATTTACAGACCGCCTTCATATAGCTTGAGTATTGCTGAGTCAAACAAAAATTGTACTATTTACTGTTACAATACCGTTGCAATAGTTTTGTGTTATTGCAGTCCGTGTTAGTACATTGTCTTACAAAGATACCGTCACACTAAACATACGTTTCGCCCTAAAAAGCTTCCAACAATAGCAACCTCCTGAGCTCAGTAGACTGCATGGTGTCGACGTTATTGGACAATGAAAGTTATGAACATGTATTGATTTGATACAGAGGTCTTTCTCTATGTAACATTGTATCACTACATACATTTAACATACTGTTACAGTGTTTTGTGTATACATGGATCAATACATATAGGCTGTTACATCTGAACAAATCCCGAACAGCATTTAAATGAATGATCAAACAACTAGAAGCAGCATCAGCGAAACAGTGTATAGTCATCACAAAATATATTTACTTTAAAAAACGCCCTGTTTGTATGGGAAGTCAGCCAAATAACGGTAAGACCAGATGTTCTCCAAATAGAAAGATAATTAGATATTTTTGCAATCCAATTAAAAATTCAGTGAGAAACGTCCTGAATATGAAATTAGCTCAAAGTAGATTGTTCACCTGTCTCGTGAACAGGTGTCCCTTTGAGCTCCACGGTCAGGTGAATAACCACTAACATATAATGATGTGGTATAGATGGATGATAATGAAGTTTGCTAGTCTCTGAAATACGGACTGACTAAAACATCAATACCACAGACAAAAGAAGTGAGAATATAAATGTTAGATTTGTTATTTCTAAAAACATTGAACTGTCATGGAGTAGTTTCACGACTCACCTAGAATCAACGTCAACACATCCGCCACGGCCAGGTTGAACAGATAATAGTTTGTGGTTGTTTGCATGTACTTGTTTCTGGCGACCACGATGCACGTACATATATTTCCGAAAACACCTGTCACAAATATCAACGCATACACAGTGGTAAGGAATATCACCGCTCCTAATGAAATGTACCGTTCACCAAGATACATTTCCAAATAATCCTCCTCATTAAACGGTTCCGAAACGTTTCCGGTAAGGTTTGAACCGTTGGTGGTCATTCCATTATAATCAGTCACATACTGGTCAGCGAACGTCCCGTTGACCACAGGACTGGCATAAGCCTGTCCAGACATGTCGACGGCAGCTTGGACCTAAGGCTGTAGAAAGTGAAGTGGACAAGGTGATTTAATAGATGACCAAGCTGTTAAGTGGACAAACGAGAGGACACGGCAATGACATCACGCAAATCCTTCTTCAAATAAGTTACGGAACCTAATTTCTTATCCACCATTAGGTCCACTATTAAGAAATAGTTTCCTGACAAACATCCATTGACGACGGATAATCTCCGCTGAAAGGCATTGTCTCTTTCTCCTGTGCCACTAGACAATGCCTCACGTGGTTATAATACGTGCGTGGGTCTGCAGAACTACTGTAACGAGTACAGGTAACACTTCCCGGGTTCGCGAACACTTCCAGGAATCACAAGGATGGAAACTTGATCCAGTCGAGGAAGCACCTTCGTCCATTTGTTTCCATCACACTTGCAATGTATTTGCAGAAGGACGTATTACTTTTGCTTAGTTATACGGAAAATTCATTTGAACTGTTTTGCCGAGATTGAAATTAGGAAAAAACCAAGCAGCGATAGATTCATGTCTCTGCCTCAAAGGAATACCATTTTTCACCGTATCACTCAGAATAACTCACCCAGCGTGTAATACCGTGCGTAATTATGCGTAATCTTTGCTTAAGCACGCGTTTCTCTGTACGGCTAGTTCTACAGAGTCAGAAAAGTGAACAGGAAGGCACAGAGGCTAATTAGGAAGACAACAGGGATGCGAGAGTCAATCGTTTCAGCACACCAATTACCAACATCCACAACCTGGCTGCAGCTGTCAGTCCTGAGAATGCGCACATCCACTGGGTACAAATAAGAGTGTTTCGACTCAGGTGTATGTTTTACTAATTACCCGTTTTTCATCCAAATCTGTGTCCGCTTTACCACTATGTCCACGCTCTGCATGAGCGCTTAGTCATATGGTGATGACCCGGGTCATGCATTAAATCCTACACGTGGTATCCACTTGATGAAGGGTTCCTGTCAGCGTCACGGGTGGTGGTTCTATGCTTCAGGTAAACCTCCTTCAACATAACACTCTCTTGGCGTCTTTCCCGGTCGTCCGCAAGGATGTCTTTCTGTCGTATCCTTATAGAAACTGCACAATGAAACGCTCTTGTTGGACAGTTAAGTGCCACCTAAATGACCACATTCGTAATCGTGACTGTATGCATAAACAACTGCGCATAAATATCGATCCACTTTGTAGGTAAAAACGACACCAGCAGCTTATGTCCATACATAATTGAAAAGTCGAAACATTGTCCTACTTAATGGAGATTCACTTCATGCTGGTGTTGTCAATAATCCATGCTTAGACGTCGTGGTTTCATAAACACCTGGTGTTTTACAACGTAAGAGATTGTACTTCATAGCAAGGCTCTGCGCGTTAAAAGGACGGGCAGCAAAAGCATTAGCAATACATCAATCAGATCTGCTCAGGCGAATGTTTTTCCCGAGCAGTCTCCGCATGTGCACGTGTCCTCTCTCTCGGCATGCAACAGCCTACCGGAGCCTGCTTGGTCCCGTCGCTCTCGCTCATCTCCATCCGTGCTTTCAATCAAGATGAGCTGATGAAAGACCAGTATTTAACTGTTTGCATATTGCTGTTCGAGCTTTGATTGAAACCGCTGAAGGAGTGTAGGGGCAGCGAAAGTCTGATTAAACCGGTCAAGGGGCCTTAGGAAACTTTAAGTAAAACTGTTGTGGTAATGTTGTGACAACAGATTCTGTTTTCAATCACATGCCCAGTGGGGTTGTGGTGAAAGATTACTTGAAAAATCGACAAAGTTGCCCAAAGCAGTTATGACACAGTAGAATACGATGCTGATGGGGATGTAAGGGGGACGGGACGCGAGACAATTTGTCGTCACCGTACAAGGAATATGAACATTTGAAATGCCATCTTTGTGTCGCCGGAACGTCCCAAGGATAAATCGGCTGGGAATACATATTTAATATAAACCTCTTATTGAGCCTTTTTCTAAAGGCCACGAGAAGTAGCTAGAATTTCTGTCGCCGTTTGCTTCCGTGTAATTTGGACTGATAAAGTTTAGTTCTGTTTTTATTTCGAGGGGGAATTAGAATCCTCAGGATTGGGCTTTGTTTGCCCAACAAGTGACAACATATTATATAAAAACCTCCCAAACCCAACATTATATATAATGTTGATTGTTCTCAAGATTTCTTTCAGCAATATTACAGCAAGAAACACAAATCATAGGTTTCAAACATGAATATGACCAATACAAAGATGACTGACTGATTGAGTTTAGTTTGACGCCGCTTTTAGCAATATACCAGCAATATCAAGGCGGGAGACACGAGAAATTGGCTTCACACATTGCACCATGTGGGGAATCGAACCCGGGTCTTCGGCGTGACGAGCGAACGCTTTAACCACTAGGCTACCCCACCGCCCCAGATATTGTGCGATGAACGGTGTTTTGTGTCGGCAACTTTGAATTATATATACATCGGTCATTAACCACCAGGCTACCCCACCGCCTCAATACCAAGAGAAAACTTACATAACACCAACGAGAGAAAAAAGGTTTTCAGAAGGACATGGTTTGACTTTGGTACAGGAATATGTGCCTGCAGTTAAACAATTTAATCTGGAACCAAAGATGTAAAAGTATAGTATTTACGTCTTTGCATGAACCAAGTGATGTGCAAAGGCATCCAATGTAAAGTAAAGGTAAAGTAGAACTCAACCATCCCAACTGGACGATATTTACGTGAAACAAAAGGTGTAATACATTAAACGCTTCATTTATCAGCAAATCCGGTTTGCGGATCCAGCCAGTGAAATTCAATTATCAACAGTGTCAAATACACAGGCTATTGTTTCCCACATAACGGATAACGACCACGCTAAACGATGTCTGGTTTGCTGTTCATCGCCTGGCAGACATCATATCATCTAAGGAAGGGTATAATGTGACCGCAGTGGTAATTTAATCCTGTTATTACATGTACAGTTAAAAAATGAGAATTCATTTTATATGCAGACAATGGGTCGTTTTAAAATGTTCTTCTTCGGATGTGATGATCTTGTAAACTGATATACGTAATGATGACAGTGAGATGTGATGAGGTAAAGTCAGACTCTACTCAGTAAAAGACATTTAAACGGGGAACATCTGATAGCAGTCCACGTATGATATGTCGGGATGGTTGGATTTACTGACGAATGGTAGATGATACAGATGACATTTGGGTAAGGTTTGACCATGGCTTCAAGAACACATGAAAATCGTAGCAATCGTATTTGTGAATTCTTGCTCTGTACAACAAAACGGTGGGGGAGCATTGATTAAAGCGTTAGCCGTAAAGCTGGGGTGGGTGGGGGGGGGGGTGGCTTCTTTGCAACTACGAGTTATAACAATTGGGTTGTATATCGCTAGAGGATGCGTGAAAAGAGCAAACTCACTCCATCACTCATGAGTGAGTGAGTATGGTTTTATGCCACGTTTAGCAATACTCCAGCAATATCACGGCGAAGAAAACCAGGAATGGGCTTCATTGTACCCATGTGGGGACGAGCGATCGCTTTATCCACTAGGCTACCCCACCGCCCCATCTCACTCATGAACTCTACAGTGATCATGATTAAAAGTTTTATCTTGTGACGAGGAAGTCCCGCATAAGATATTTTCAACAACGGATATAATCAGTGCTGCCAAATCCATGTGTCCACGATCGTTTTGGGAGAGGGGGATTTTGCAACAGCCGGTGTAAAACCCAACTCACTCATGAACCAGCAGTTTGGTAACCTGTGTCTCAATTTGTTTCATATGTCGAGAAGTTGGTCAATATGTGAACGTTCCCATTTGGTTAGAATATTATATCAGCATCCCGAACAGCATTTAATTTCCCGATAGCCTAGAGAAGTACCATCCACCAAATTAAATCATTCGCTTAACTGCCTAACATGATTTATCAGGTTCCTAAAAACCGAATTCAATTTACAAGTAAACAGTAGTTTCCTTTGAGATTTTCCTGCTGCTCGTCAACCGTTACGAATTATATGTCTACAAGCTTATCAATGTTATTAGCCGAATATCCATGTTTTAATGGCATCGTTGGAGTTTATTGAAAGTCATCAAGGTTGCAGAGAAATATAGACACACAGTTTCTTCTGGAAAATGAAATCTCATTATCCAGCCGTCCTGAACATCTAGCTGTTCAACTGCTCGCTTACCACATCGATTGCTTTGAAGCATCCCCGTTAGGAGGTTCAGTCACCGCCTTCCTCCACACTAACACTGGGATAGTCTGATCTCTTGCTGCCATTACCACGGCTGATTGGTCGATGAAGTTATCTACCACACGAGAAAGGCGTTTGGGAGGATGCGACTTTTATTTCAAATGATTCTTTTCCTGGGCAAAGGGTGTTCAGTGGAAAACCTCTTTTTGATGTTTGCACTGCTTGAGGTTTGGCACAAAAAATTATGTCTTTTTTATGACTGTAAGGCGAAATTGAAATTGGTTTGTCTAAACGAGATCGGAAAAGAAACTGGTTATGTCGGAAAAGATGCAGTAGACATTAATCGCATTTTCAGCAACATCATCAGTTATGAGTGACGTGTATTTGGCATCTGAATCTTAAATTTTATCTCTGGGTTTCTGGATCAAAGAAAATGCCCACACCTCACGCAAGAGCCATACACTGGGATCGGGCGGTCGGAGTTTAACTTATCATGTGTTGGGTTTCCTATATACGTCAAACTTACAGTATCGTTCACCTCAGGACGGAGATTTGATTGTCAGTAGTACCTCCAGGAGATTTCATATTTACGATCACAGTTTTATGAAATGAGCTAAGTGAGTGAGTGAATGAGTTTAGTTTTACGCCGCACTCAGCAATATTCCAGCTATATGGTGGCTGCCTGTAAATAATCGAGTCTGGACCAGACAATCCAGTGATCAACAGCATGACCATCGACCTGCGTCATTTGGAACCGATGACATGTGTCAACCAAGCCAGCGAGCCTGACCACCCGATCCCGTTAGTCGCCTCTTACGACAAGCATGGGTTACTGAAGGTTCATTCTAACCCGGACGCCGATAAGTAATTGTAATACAGAGAGGCAAGAAGAACAACAAAACATAAAAACGAATCAAATATTGCGAAAGGAAGGGATCATAATGCTTGGGCGAAACAACGCTCATGGCAAAGCAGCGTCATTCGGGCGTGTCCCTAGAACAATTAAAAATAATGAAGAAATGGAAGTTTAGGAAATGTGTTGTCTGAGAAACTTTGCACGTACACGTCCTTTGACGAAACATTTGGCTGTGTGAGTGAATATGGTTTATTACCGCTTTGTCTGTTTAAGTCAAATAAAATACCCGATATCGATGCCTCAGACTTACCTACCTTGGTCACTTCACCGCGCATTGGTATGGTGGTACCAAACCAAGAAACATCATCAGTGCTTGGGAATCGAACCCATGGCCATGGGTTTCTCTTTTACGCGAGGGAAGTCAAGACATGCGCACAGAATACTTGCAATTCAAAACGACGTGGTAAAAAAATGTGGTTCCAGGAATAGTGATGAAACATTTAAGTGAGTGAGTGAGTTTAGTTTTACCAATACCGCTTTATACAAAATTCCAGCAATATCACGACGGGGGAACACCAGAAATGGGCTTCACACATTGTACTCATGTGGGGAAGTGAATCCGAGTCTTTGGCGTGACGAGCGAACGCTTTAACCACTAGGCTACCCACCACCCCGATGTAACATTTGAACCAACAAGAGTGGCGAAACGGTAGAACAAACAAAGGTTACAGCATTTTCAAAATGTCATAAATCAACATTTTGTGTCGTCAACAATTGTTTGATGCCTGACGGAGAAATATTGTATATGGCGAGCGCGTGTAAATAATGAATCCTGTACCACGCACAGCAACCAGTGATTGACAAAATGAACACCGCCCCACAGGGTACCCTGCCACTGATTCACCAACCGGACAGCCCGATCCATTCGCCCTATGGAAGCACTATGCTGGGTCACGATCCACAAAGCTTTCGTAACATTACGACCTGTCGTAACTATATATTTTATCATAAGCTTACGAATGGCATAGTGCTATGAACGCTTTGCGAACGGGACCGGGTCAGCTATTCTAACCAAGATAAACCAACAAGGCACTGACCAGAATCATGTCTGTTTGTAGGCTACCTGAGTTGGACCATGGACTCAATTAATCATCCTATAGCCACAAGCAATCGTGATTTTAGGGGCGCTGCAGTATGCTTATAATTACTAACTCGTCTTGTTCAATAATATAGGAGCTATTGTGGTTTGTAAACAGCGACAGTCTTTTGTCATTTGTGACAACCTATCATTTACTACTGGGGCCCTCTTCCATGCTCAGCTGACAAGTGGTTACTCTCGGAAAAGGTATTCGTGGCAGATAGCATGGGCAGGGCTCCAGATAAGATGTGTATCTGCGTAAAATA